ACAGATTGCCACCTTTGATAATAGACGACTCATATATGAGACTAATGTGTAAAATCGATTTTGACTAATAACAATAGTAACAATCGGACTTAGATTTTATCTATGGTTTTCCAACCGAGCCGGTTATGTCATACAGCGAATTTATTATCTAAAACATAACGGTTTAAATTATCCTCTGATTACATTTAAATGTTACTCGCTTATAGGTTGGTCATAAAATGCGGTTTCGCATAATTATGCGTAACTCGTTCCTCTTGAATTACACTTTTATACACCCAATAAAATCTAAGAGCCTAATATTATGCCTCAGGTGCTGATCACGTTTGAGAGCTTAACTGTTAAACCGCGTTACACCTATCAATGTTCTGAGATTTTATCTCGTATAATTCCAGCGAGCTCTGCATACGGGCAACGTAAAATTATATGCAGTTAGTTCACTACCGTCACTGCGATCCAGGAAAACGCAATTTACAAACATGAAACTGACCTTTGTCAATGTGACTTCTTGCTAGATTCCGACGTCGATTCACGCAGGTATCTGGTATTAGCCAGGACGTTGAGGTGCATTAGAAATGTGGGTAGGTGCTCACACGGAAACTTAACACGAAACGAAAAGCACATAAGGACGAATTTGTAACGTTAAGAAAACAAAATCAATTTCGTAATGCAGCATAGTTAACCGTGAAAGCCGTTCTCAGAAGTGGGCACAGTGCATTGACGTGAGGAGAATGGTTACTGTATTTATTGTTTTCCTTGTCATTAATTACGAAATGTGTCGTGTACTTCATTCTGCATGATAATTTCGCTAGTGTATAATTTATCAACATATATTAATATAAAATGAGGAAAGTTTCTTTGCAAGTGCCAACCACGTAACTAATTGTAAGGGTTAGGTCGTCTGGTGATTACATCAATACTAATATATAAATCTACAGTGGTTTTTACGGATGTTCTCTTATAACTACTGAACCGTGCATCCAATTGACTTGAAACTTGGTATCCATGTAGAAAATACATGTACTTAATGGATAGGCTAATATTAATATGAGTGTTGGACTCCCTACGCCGGTTGCGGGGGCGTTAATGATGAGAATTTTTGTGAGGGTGAGAAATAATAATGTTAGTTTTAAATGCCCAGCGAAGCAGATGGGCAGCTAGTTACAGATAAAAATGTTATTGAGAACTATTTAGTACCTATTAATTTCTGCTTTCATCAAAATTCTCACTGTTCTTCCTTTAATCTTCATTTAATCTACTATCTTCTCCTCCTTACGTCGTTAATCCACAATGGTGAGTGTCGTGGCTTCTCTGAATAACCTTTGGGCTATCTTGCGCGAACCCTGTTTATCCTCTGCTGCGTGAATGGCATCATGAACAGTTATCCATATATCAAATAATCTATATGCACTACGCAAATATTGTAATATACCATAACATCTCACCAAAAAACATTAAGAACCACGTGGTTCCGTAAACCTTATAAATCTCATTGCTTATACTTTTAAATATAACAAAAACTTTTTTAAATCTTTCTGTAGCCTCACTACTGGCAGAACGTACTGTGAATTTCAACGACTTTGTTTCATCCTTGTTTTCAAGAAGTAATGCAAATTAATCTTCGCCTTCATGCCCAAAAGCGAGTGGTGGTTTTTACGCTATCGAGTCTATAGGCATCGGTAAACCAACGTTTCCCATTCTACATAATGAAGAAACGTTTTATAACACAATTTAGCGGTGTAATTGAAAAGGAACTATTTTTCGGCTTGGTGTAAGAGAAAATATTCCGAATCCCAAAAGTACTGGACGCAACTAGATTAAACCAATTTACGAAACAAACGGACTTAAATCTCATTCACTTTTATTACTTTAGAAGAGGATCTTTACGAATGTTGAATTAAAAAAATATTTATGATCATAAATATTTTGTTTGATATTCTATGTGAATACAAATTTTCGGATAGACACGAATGCCAACTCTAATTATCTTTATCTATCTATCTATCTATATATATAAAAATGAATTGCTGTTCGTTAGTCTCGCTAAAACTCGAGAACGGCTGGACCGATTTGGCTAATTTTGGTCTTAAATTACTCGTGGAAGTCCAGAGAAGGTTTAAAAGGTAGGTAAATATGAAAATGCTTGGAATTAAATAAAAATAACAATTTTGTTTTCCCTTTGATGTGTCCCTCGTCGGACGGATTCCTTTTGTTTGTTTTAAGTTTATTTTATACAAAAGTTTAGGTCTTTTATTTATAGATTTAGGCACTACGAAGTGTGCCGGGTCAGCTAGTATTGTTATAAATTTTGAGAAGGCTTATGGATACCGATCTATCGTTTACTTACTCCGTTTCACTAAAATGTTAAATTAGACAAATACATATGATATCATAAGGGATTTTATACTTTATCGTTTAGTTACGGATTCCAAAAAAACCTCGCTTCGTTTGTAATTGTTGTTTTTCCCCCAAATACCGCAAATTCTAACTTCAAACAGTCAAATTCCACGACAATGCAACATTAAAGCAATAATTCCGAAAGGCGCCTTCAAATCATTAACTTAAATCGCAATGCTGTAAATCTAGTACTGTTATTGTTAATTGCATAATCCTTTAATCGTATTGTCGGTGCTCGGTCATTAACAGTAATCTTGTAGCGTGATCTCTGGAACTATGACGATATTTCCACGAACCGTGACTCATTCTCGGACCACGGTTGACCCTGTTTATATTACGATAACGCAGATGAATCGCGCACTTTTTTGCATGTACATTACTCATCTATGGCGAGAGCATCAGGATCTACGTTTTTATCAATGAAACAATACGTAATGGAGTCGTGACATAATTCTGTATCTAAATTTAGAATATAACGTTCTCTTACGCACACACTTAATATTAACGTTTTCGCAAATCGATATTCCAAAAATTTAATCGGATTTAAATCGATTTTTCATGTCGCACTACATTTTATGTAAAATAGCTTAATCAAAATCGTAAGCGTCAAATTGTGATGTGACGATTTTTAATGACGTTATGTTATGCGCGATCATGACATCACCGTGTTCGCGTCGATTCACGTCATCTGATGCGAATCCTGCCCCGTTTCTTCTTACTATTAAAAGTTTAATCATTCCGATGTCATGCGGTCAATCAAGATATTAACTATCATTATTAAATCTCAAGATCACGCAGCGAATAAATTAGCACGATTTATAAAATACGAACGATGACGTGGCTTTTATAATATTTGAATTACGTAATGCTGAGCGTCTAATAACGTTCGTTTACGGGACTTGCACAATTTTGGGTTTTACTTAAAACCGTTGTATTGTGCGATTAAATCCTATTGTCGGTTGACATTTCGAGTGGATTCGTTGGCGTAACTGAACAGTCACGACACAGTACGGATGTTCTGTAGGCGGGCCTATCAATATGCACGAAGCGCGTCTTCGCATTCGACACTCTAGCACGCGAACTGAATGTTCATGCGATACTTCGACTCTGTTACCGGACTCACGCATGACTCATATTCTTGATTAAAATCTCTATTTCTCGTCTAGTTTCTTTCTCTCCCGAGAACATGAACGAATATTTCGTCTTTTCGCATTAAAATGGTACAATTTTCAAAAATATTCGAAATTGGCTTAATATGCGGAATCATTTAGTATCACCAGTATTTTTCTCATACATACTGTCAAAAGAGCGTAATTTAGTTTAGTTTTTTTTTTGTTTATCCTTATTTTGACTACTATTACTTAACAAAATTAATACATAATTTTATCTTACTTTAAAAGACAGATAATGTAACTGGAAAAAATAAAAAAAATTAATGTTGCAAAGATGATTAATCTTATCTTATACATTTAAACGAGCAATTCTTGTATATATATACATATATAATCTGAAACGGCTACAACGATTTCCATAAAATTTAGTATACAGGGGATTTCGGGGGCGATAAATCGATCTAGCTACGATTTATTTTCAGAAAATGTTGTTTTATTCGTGTATTCAATAATCAACTTTATCGATAACCAACTTTATGACGCTTCCCGACATCTATTGGCGAATAATAATACTATTTTTCTTAATTGAGAGCAACTAACCGCTTTAAAGACACAACAAGACGGCGTTATCAAAAAAAAAAAAACGAGCAAATCTCGGTCATCATCTAGTATTAAAAATATCACAATATGCTAAACGTTTAAAACACTCTCCTGCAAAATTAGTAAGTTTTGAGATTATACAGTTTTAATGCGAGAAGACGATTTATGCATTACCTATTTTTCGCAAGCACATTGACAAATTAATATGCATCTCAATTTTTAAGTTCGTACAGATTGAGTACTGCATACGTAGCGTAGGTTCCTATGACCTTAATGAAATGAATCAATGACTGCGACCTATTGTCCTTGTTCTATATTCGCAGTATGCTTTGATTACAGAATTCTTGGTATCTCAACTAAAAGGGCAATAACCCATTAATACGTCTATTGAATCTAAGAATCAGACAAGCCGGAGAACTTTGTTATGTTTATTTATATTCTTACAACGACATTATTAATTGTACGATTTTAAAGCTTTTTTTTTTATTGCTTACATGGGTAGACGAGCTCACAGCCCACCTGGTGTTAAGTGGTTACTGGAGCCCATAGACATCTACAACGTAAATGCGCCACCCACCTTGAGATATAAGTCCTAAGATCTCAGTATAGTTACAACGACTGCCCCGCCCTTCAAACCGAAACGCATTACTGCTTCACGGCAGAAATAGTCGGGGCGGTGGTACCTCCCCGTGCGGACTCACAAGAAGTCCTACCACCAGTAACCAAGTGTACTATTATTATTTTGATTACTTCTTTAGGCACGAGTAAGTTAGGGCACCGTGAGGGACATCTGAAATGCTAAGAGCAGCACCACCAAGGCACTGCCTTACTGATAAAAATAATCTTTTGTATACTGTACAATTAATATTAATGTACTTTCTATTTTTGTTTCAGATACCTGAGCTCACGCTCGATGGAAGCAACAGTCTGAAACACAACGGCAGCGCCAAAGACTTGGCATCGGTCATGGAGAATCTAAAGAAGGGCGGACTGGTCTCCAGACAAAACCAGTCCTTAAATACACAAGTCACTAGTTCGACACAACAGGTAAATAAAATACACCCATCGTTACCCATTGATTGCATCATGAAGTGAACAGAGAAAATAAATGAATAAATGTAGTTTACGAAAAATGAAGAAAAAAAACACTTGAATAGTAAACCTAAGTAAATTTTTTTTTATTCCTACAGTACATTGAAGAGTAACATAATTCATAAATGACTTACATGTTACATCGAACTTCGTCGTTAACATAACTAAATCAAATTCGCAAATTTAAAAAGAATAATTACGATATTCTAAGTAGCCAATTCCGGGTACCACAGCCTACGGACGTAGCGACTTCTAGACAAGAGTATATTATAAATAATAAACATAATAATATGCAGTTACAAAACAAACAAAAAAACACGAATAAATAGTAAACCGAAATAACAGTTAATTTCAAGCAAGCGAGTCCGCACGTGTAGGTATCACCACCCTGCCTATTTCTGCCGTGAAGCAGTAATGTGTTTCGGTTTGAATGGTGGGGCAGCCGTTGTAACAATAATGAGACCTTAGAACTTATATATCAAGGTGGGTGGCGGCGTTTACGTTGTAGATGTCTGTGGGCTCCGATAACCAATTAACACCAGGTGGGCCGTGAGCTCGTCCACCCATCTACGTAATAAAAAAAATCTACAATACATTAACTAATACCATAATTCGTAAAGGACTTACATGATAATCGAACTTTGTCGTACATAACTACTAAATCAAATCAAATCTAATAATCAAAGCTGAGGATATATATAAGGAAAATTGAAAAAGAAAAATAACAAAATTCTAAATGACCAAGTCTGAGTACTACAACCTACGCACGTATTGAATTCCAAACAAGGGTATAATAAAAATAATAAATATATGCAATTTCAACAAAAAAGACACGCATAAATAGCAAACAGAAGTAATATGTAGTTAATTCAATTTTTTTTTCTGTTGATTCTGGTCACGATATTAGAGCGAAGCTATAAAAATTATTGTGTTGTCATCGGTACTTGATACGTGTGCAATTTTTTCAGATGATCGGACGCGCTTCGAAGTCTGTTAAAAATGACGTTCAGATTCCATTGCATACATACAACCAAACAAATAAAAGCGTATGTACTTAACGCTTTTAGTGCTGAGTTAATTTTCACATATTTTACAGAAATCGCTAAATGATTTTTGAAAAAGTACCTTATATAAACTTTAATTAAAAAAATTAATACAAAAATTAATGCTAAATTCACAGTAAAATAATTTTAAATTGTTGTTTATAAATGTTATTATTAACATATTAAAAAAGTTATACATGTCCGTACATGTTTATACTTAATACCTACCTATAATCAAACTGCGCAATAGTCGGTATTCCGACTTACGAATATATGTATATATTTACAAGAGATATTTATAACTGGAAATGAATTTCCATGAGGTGATGGGTCTGAGGCAAATTACAAATCATTCTAAAACACAAAACGGAAACAACCACTTGGGACAAAACAAAACCTACAAATCTATATATTAATACGTGAAGCAAAAACTTTGTATCCTTTTTTACGAAAATTGCGTTGACGGAGGAGTATGAAATTTTCCACACTTATACAGAATATAGAGAAGAAGTGCACAATGCTAATATTTTTTTAAAATAATGCATAAAAGATACATTAAATCAGTAAAGAAAACATTACACACACTACATACCATGTATTTGACGCACACACGCATGCTTACTATTTATTGTCAAACTTTTGTTCTTGCCGTCTGTTGTCAAATTGAGAATAGATGAAATATTGTTTGTCTTCGTTAATATTTTTATAGTGTAGTCTTGGCGAAATTTGTGATTAGAGAAGTTTAAAATACAATCATAATAATGTACAAACTTACAATTCCAATGAATTATAGTCGAGTTTCGACTACTGCGGGACCTCTAGTTAACATAATCTTATGATCAACTCGCTATCGAGACTTTTTTTTATTTATTGCTTAAGTGGGTGGACGACCTCACAGCCCACCTGGTGTTAAGTGGTTACTGGAGCCCATAGACATCTACAACGTAAATGCGCCACCCACCTTGAGATATCAGTTCTAAGGTCTCAAGTATAGTTACAACGGCTGTCCCACCCTTCAAACCGATACGCATTACTGCTTCACGGCAGAAATAGGCAGGGTGGTGGTACCCACCCGCGCGGACTCACAAGAGGTCCTACCACCAGTAAAAAACTATAGAATATAATAATATGTATATAACTACGGAATCGTGAATCCGAATATAAAAGATATTCTTTAACGGGTTCCTACGGCTTTTCACATTTCATGCGAAATGAAATGCCATGATCACAGGTTGATTCAGTAGAGGTAAATTTACTGAAAATCGTTGTAAGAACCTGTTAAGTAATAGTATGCATAATGAAGACAGCCCTGAAAATTTAAAACAATACAATTTTTTTTATTGGCCCACCTGATGGTGAGTGGCTACCCTCGCCCATGGACTTCAACAATGCCAGGGGCAGAACCAAGACGCTGCCTATTATTGCCCAGTGTGCACATTTTTGCCGCGAAAATGCACGTTCCAATTTACAGGGCTACTATATACCTGTTACTCTGAACTCAATGATAATTTAACTAACTTAGACGAGAACCATCGCTCTAATATGTCTATACTTCCGCTAAAACCATGTGGGATATTACCTAATCTGCCCATCTAAGTCAATAAATGTACAACTGTTGCTACATTACGTATTGAAAAAAATACGCATTATCATAGAAAACTTGACCTTACATTTTTGTCTATAGCTCTAGAGTTACCGTATCGAATTTTAATTTCAAGGCAGGCTTGTTTGTGTCCAATTAAACTGAATGCTTAGGAGCAACAACGGGTGGCGCTGGGAGCTCGTTTGCTCAGTCAAGCCAGTCAATCGAATCGAAATTACCATAACAGAAAATGAAAAAAAAAACATAACAAAAAAACATTAGCATTAAAAGTTAGTTGTTGACATTGAAAAAATTCAATTACAATCAGTCCCCGCATGAAGATAATTCTAACTCTATAAAACCTGTACCTCAATTCGATGTTAGATTCAAATTCAGATATATTTCTGAAACGGAAAATAGCATTTTAAAGTAGTTTTATCAATGAAATAAAGTCTCTTTTTACTTATAAAATTCTATAACTCATATTTAGAGTATGGACTGCGTTTTAAGTGCTTGTAAAATACGCATCTAGAGATACGATGTAGCATTCTCATGTGAGAGTGTTTGCATTACTACTTCCAGACCCAGAGCTTGACTTGATAATTTTTTGAGTCGGGTAGAAAAACAATAATAATAATATTAATAATAATAACAAGGAACATATCACGCATGGTCATCCGGCCTCAATTTAGGATTCCTGTGTTATAGGTACCAGAGACTGACAAACATACTTATATACGTTTTAATATATACATATATATAGAAAATAACCACCCAGCAAAGAGCAAACAATCCTGTTCATCACACGAATGTTTAAACGAACCCACAATAATGACATCTCTAAACCCCGGGGGGCTATAACAGGTAATCTAGGGGTATGTACCCGCTAAAGAACCTTCCGGTGTTTTCCGATCTGTCATTCGTGAGAGGACGCGAGAGCATCTGGATGCCTAACGGTTTGTCCCCCGCGTGACATATTCATATAAAATTATTGATATAATATATTTTATTTGCGTAATGACTGGTGGTAGTGGGTCTTGTGAGCCCTCGCGCATATTTCTGCCGTGCAGTAATGCATTTCGGTTTGAAGGGTAGGGCAGCCGTTGTTCTGTAAAAACAGAGACTTAGAACTCATGTCTCAAGGTGGGTGGCGGCTTTAACGTGGTTGATCTCTATGGGTTCCGGTGGCTGCTTAACACTAGATGGGCCGTTACTGCTCCATCCTTCTAAGCATTATAAGATATAACGATCAAGCTCAAAAAATATTACATACGTATATTCCTCACCTCTCAATTAAGCACGAATATGTTTTTAACAGAACATGATATGTGGAAACTCGCGGTCAACGATGCGCAAAGAAACTAGGCTGTCCATGTAATATAATAATACGATTAGAGGTCATGGAGATACCGCACTCCTCTAGATATGATGTGGAAGTCATAATTGTATTAGTTTAAAGAGATGGCATAACGGCTATCTTTAAACCGCAACCCGTGTTTACTTCTTGGTGTAACACAAACTGAGAGAAAATTAGGGAAATTTAATTTTTTTTAAAAGTACAAACTTTTACAACGAACCGATAATAGGGTAGATAAGTAGGTAGGACAGAATAATAATAACCTTAGAGCTCTAGGAAAACAGGATAGCATAGCCGTATCTTCCTGCCTGAACTATTTCGTTCTAATAGTCCCAGATTACGATGCGGAATATTGCCAACTACAATAATCATTCGTTTTAATCACTAAAGTATTACCGCGTACCAATGCTCATTTTAAATAAATGAAGTTTAGTGATATTCGAATTAATCGTCCGAAAATTCACGTTTAAATATAGACCGTGGGTTATTTCAGCATCACGACCTCGGTTCATAAATTGGCATGTTTATTTTGAAACCGCCCAATACGAGTTACTTGAAAAAAAAATATATGATAATATGATTGGAAATAAAGACCACGCCTCTGAATCGTCAGTTCGGATGTAAGTTAGGGCACTTTAGGCTAAGTTTTATGAATACAATGTTGCCATGCACTTTTTTAAAATGTAGTTTTTGAAAAGTCCCTAGTCTGATTTACATTGCGACTTACTAGTTCGAACGATCAATATATTGCAACAGTAGTAATCCAACCCTTTGCAAAAATGAATATTATTTCGTATTTTAGTAGCATTAGTGTAAAACGCTGATCACATATTCCCGCGTGTCGTTATCAATACTGAATTATATGTACCACGTCCAAACAATGTTACCGAGAGAAAATAAACATGAAAAAAACCCGACTAATAAAAGTTTCGGAGTTGTGAAAGAACACAAGCCGTCATGAACGTGTCTCACTGGCGGCTGGCCAACAAACAGAGCGGCCAGTTTCATGCGACGTGGCGTAACGTAGGACGTGCATCTAAATATGCACCCTAAGGGCCTCATTTCAGTCACTAACATTAGTGCTTTTCCCATGAACATCTAATAAAACAAATGCCATGCCTAGTGTTAAATGAAAACTTTAAGGAAACAAAAAAGGTTCTCATGCATTAAAATGCATAGACAAAAAACAAAAAAAAATCTTAATATTACTTACAAAAGATGTAAAAAAAAATATGCTCGATTTATAAACCGAAAATCTGTTGATACTAAGCCGCGAGGTTCAAGGTTGTTATTTGTTGCATCCCGCCCGCCCACGCGCACTGAATCATTCGCTCTTCAATCACGACACCCAAGCCAAATCAAATAAAATTGAATTTAAATAACTTGTCTTATACGTACTCATAGTAACACAAGCGAACGATGATAATATCAAACATAAATTTATTTATTTGAAAGCGCAAAACAAATTCTTGCCACTCACTAATCAGTTTGCGAGAGCATTTCTGTACATTTGATTTTAAACCGTTTCAATCTGTGTATCTACGACTATTTAATTTAGCTCTGGTTTTATTTTCTTTGCCAGTGTGCGCCAAAACGCGTCACGCACGTACTTACAAGTTTCACTAACATTGGCACTGAACGCTTCCAAAATAATGTCTAGTCTAGATAATACAAGCGAACGGACAGCACACGTTTACGGTCATTCATAATTATTTCAAGAATACCGAAGATATATTCTAAAACTTAAAACGAAAGGTCATTACCGAGATTACTCGTATATCCTTTTTTACATATACGATTTCTAACTCCTACATTTTTATTTTATTAGATGGTCTCCAGTACTACGTCGAGTAGCGCGGCCTCCAGTCAGCGTATGCAAAGTTCTTCTCAAAGACTGCAGCACATGGCAACTTCGGAAATGAAAGCCAGTTCGATGAAATCTGATCTGACTGAACTAAAAAGTTCGATTTCCGAAATGAAGAATCTAAGCAGTACAGCAGCTAAAAACTTTGGGCAAAGGTCAGTGATAACGCTAAGTACTTAAAACCGCGACAGCTATTTCCAATTCTTCACAAAATAACATAACATGTGCATTACCTTATTCTTAACCTAGTTTTGTTTTCTTTTTTTTTGGTCAATGCGTTTTAAGATAACGCAGACGGTTTTTAACAACATTCAAAGATGTGTTTGCTATTAGCCACGAACAGACACATACGAGCTCACCTGAGCAACCTTGGCTTTCAGCCAATTCTTACCCGCTATTTCTCGGACGTGTTTGCAGTATCACGCCGACAAACAATAGAAACACTACGTTTCCTTGTTAATCTTAACATCGCAACTTTTTTCTAAACGACATACTCCAAATCGTATTGCTAACGCTAACTCGAAGCGTTACTATTTGTAAATCGATCGTGTTTTCAGATTGCGAAGCTCCATGGAAAACATAGTAGATCAAGATGATATGGGCGAACGCCACCTTCCTGATATACGAGATCTTGGTGAAATAAGCGATTTGGGTAATATGAGTGATATGAGCGAGCTCCAAGGGGACGGACCACTGGTGACTTTTCCCGAATCCGATACGCCACCTCCTATGAGTGAAAAACCATCTTTGCTTTCTGGAAACACAGTAGCCGTTGGATCAAGTGCTGCAAATGAATTGAAGTACAGTGCGGCACGGGTCACGTCAGCTAGTTCGACCCGGGTTGTAGCTGACGGCTACAGTGCATCGAGATCAGCCGCGAACAGTGCAAGGATGCGTCGTCTACAGCACGGCGAACTGCAGTACGCTGAAAGAAGTGCGGCTGGAGCATCACATCGACTGCTACAGGCCGAAGGACTTACTGCCGAACAAAACGCCGCGTACCTTCAAGTAAGTACAATAGCCGTTACTTCAAACACAATAATTATAATAAACCTCGGATTTTTTGGTAGAAATTTAGTTTAGTCGGAAAGGCGTGTCGAAGGACGTGACCTCGTACAAAGTGCGACCGATCGATATAATAGGGCGCCGCGTCTACATCCACGAATCGCGCAGTGTTGTAGAATTTCTTGCCATGAGAACATCCAAGGCCGCTTATGGCTCGTGAAAACACGCGATCGTGTGGCCGTACAGAAAGTGCACCATGACATCGCGCCTTATCATTTGGACTGGAAGGATTCTGCGGTGTGGAGGATCGCCTGGGGCGGTGAGCTCATTTATCTAGCGGCGCTTATCGTCACACTAACTGAACCACGGTCCTCTCAGTCAGTGTTTGTCCGTCGTGCGCGCTGGCACACGCGGAAGTTAATTATTGCGCGTGCGCGCACGAGTACACGAGCATTTGGTTTTAAATATAGACTCGGAATGTCAGCGGGAGGGGGATCAGCTCCATGGCCCGTCCATCGTGGAGTCCTGTCGCGCTTTCCTCCGTATCCGCAAAATCCTTCGGTGAGCGTTTATTTCTTAGGAAAATTTCGGCGGCGGCCTTCAAAACACGTGACGTTCGTACACAAACTTTAAAATAATCGTAGAAAGCCGACCAGTTTCGCTCTATTGGACTAAATCCAATAAGTGCGATAGGGACGTATGATCCCGGTCGTGACGTGGATTGTTGTCCAATATGAAACCGAACTTTATTCCTGGACAATCGAGACCGATCCGCACACGAGCGACCATGTCGACGAAACGACGTGCAAGACCGAAATTACGTATTTTCATTGCAGTAACTATCAAATATTTGTTTTGTGAATCATTACGTTAAACGGTGCGGTATTTTCGCTAAAAAGTTTGTGATACAGTGATAACGAGGTCACATTTCGGGACTGCGCGTATTATTTTCACAATCGACCAACCTTCGTTTTAAGACATCACCAATATACATATATACGCAAGTGTGATCGTGTAAAATTTAGTGTATTTCAGTTAGAAATTACGTCATTTATAGAATAAACTCCAAAATATATCGTTTAAAATGTAAACGGGCTGTGCTAATAGAACTGACCTTACCTTGTTTCGTTGGTTCTAGGAGCAGCGTTCCTTAAAAGCGGGTGAAATGAGTGCGCAAGAAGCTAATAATATGTCCGCTTCGAGTTCGAGACTGCAAACCGAAGCTTTCAGTGCCGAGAAAAAAGCTATGGCTTCAGCGCAAGCACGACAAACTGTCACATCCAGTGGGATGTTCTCTCACAAGGAACACTCCACTATGGCACAATCGAATATGACAATCTCGAGCAAGAACCTCACAACCAAATCAACGCTTCTCTCCTCACAGGTATTTACTACAATTAGACATAAACTAAAAACAGTTGTGATATATTTAAAATATTGCAAAACGTGTCACAATGATTTTTGGTCGTAAGTGTAAATTAATGCAAATTATCATATCGGTTCGCTATTTTTCTTTCAGATGAGTCAATTACTGAACGGGACCATCAAACCCGGCGACGAAGATCTCACAAATTTAACTTTCGAGGATTTAAACAATCTAAACGCCAATTCAAATCAAAAGGATGTAGACATGGCCATACAGAAATATTCATCGCGAATGAACGCTTTCATTACATCCATAAAAAACAAACAAATGGATATGAAAAATGCATCTATACATTTCAGTAAACTGAATGAAATGTTGAGGAGAGCTTGGGCGGTACCTACATATGGACACGAACTTGGCTATTCACTTTGCAATACATTGCGGACTTCGGGTGGCTTAGACATTCTGATGGCGAATTGTTTGGAGTCTAACAATCCGGAACTGCAGTTCTCATCTGCCAAATTACTTGAGCAATGTCTCACGACAGAAAACAGGGCGCACGTCGTAGAGAATGGTCTCGAAAAGGTCGTAAACGTCGCATGTGTTTGTACGAAGAATGCGAATTCCGTGGACCACTCTCGAGTTGGTACAGGCATTTTGGAGCACCTGTTCAAGCACAGCGAGAGCACTTGCGATGACGTCATCAAATTAGGAGGTCTGGATGCGGTGCTGTTCGAATGCAGAAAAAACGACGTGGAAACTTTGAGACACTGCGCGACGGCTCTAGCGAACTTATCTCTATACGGTGGCGCGGAAAACCAAGAAGCTATGATCAAGAGAAAAGTACCGATGTGGCTGTTTCCTTTGGCATTTCATAACGATGACAACATTAAATATTACGCGTGCTTAGCTATAGCGGTCCTAGTCGCTAACAAAGAAATCGAAGCCGCCGTATTGAAATCTGGGACATTAGATTTGGTCGAACCGTTCGTTACGTCACACAATCCTTCCGAATTCGCGAGATCGAATCTCGCTCACGCGCACGGTCAAAGCAAAAATTGGCTGAAAAGATTAGTTCCGGTGTTGAGTTCGAAGAGGGAAGAAGCTAGGAATCTGGCGGCGTTCCACTTCTGCATGGAAGCCGGGATCAAGAAGCAACAGGGGAACACGGAGATCTTTAGAGAAATAGGTGCCATAGAATCGCTCAAGAAAGTTGCCAGTTGCCCAAACGCGGTGGCCTCTAAATACGCCGCGCAGGCTCTTCGACTTATCGGGGAGGAAGTTCCACACAAGTTATCACAGCAGGTTCCCCTCTGGTCAATCGAAGACGTAAGAGAATGGGTCAAACAAATAGGGTTTTCGGAATACGCTACAAACTTTTACGAAAGCAGAGTCGACGGTGATTTACTGTTGCAAATCACGGAAGAGAATTTAAAAGAAGACATAGGCTTACAAAATGGGATCAAAAGAAAAAGGTTAGTTAGTGTTTATTTGACGGGCCTGGTTACAGGTCGATATTCTCGTGGCCCAAAAGGTTCACAGCCGAAAGTTCGAAACTGACCACTTAAGTCTGATCATTATTACTCATTAGCACCGCGTTATTTCACGTTGCCGATGTGGTGAATGAAAATGGTTGTTACTCATGTATTCGTAATTTACGTTTTTTCAGATTTACCCGCGAACTCCAACAATTAAAGAAAATGGCCGATTACACGTCTCGCGACACAGGGAGTCTGAATGAGTTTTTACAAAGCATTGGTCCGGAATACACTATATACACGTACTCTATGCTCAACGCTGGCGTAGATAAAGAATCTATTCGAGGCCTGAGCGACGAGCAATTGGAAAGCGAATGTCGCATTGGCAACAGCATTCACAGACTAAGGATATTGAATGCCATCAAAGGTACAAGGATTTATATTTTTCCAAGGATATCTTTAGAGTGCTTTGTCATGATTGGTTGCCATATAACAGCTAGGCTTGAGACGCAGCTGAGTCCTTGTCTACCGTTTTTTTAGATGATTGGACGAGTTCACAGCCCATCCGTTGTTAAGTGGTTACTGGAGCCCATAGATATCTACGACGTAAATGCCGCCACCCACCTTGAGATATAAGTTCTAAGGTCTCAGTATAGTTACAACGGCTGCCCCACCCTTCAAACCGAAACGCATTACTGCTTCACGGTAGAAATAGGCATGGTGGTGGTAGCTACCCGTGCGGACTCACAAGAGGTCCTATCACCAGTAAAAATATTATTCAAAGCCTCATACACCACCCCTTCTCTATACATGCTACTAAGATGCTAATTCCATATCTTCCGTTCATATTAACTACAATATCTTTATATGTGATGGTGCGTTATAGGTCGGTACAGATTAGAAATTGCTGTCGTGCCTGTTTGGGGTAGAAACTGGCGTTAGTCCAATCGAATTGAGACTTTGAACATCTCATATTGATAGATTAATGATTCAAGTTGTGGAATTTATGAACATTGGTCGCTGCTAAATAGCATCTATTGTGCACTATTTAAAAAAAAAACTAAAATTGAATTTAAAACGTATAAAACGTTAGACACGGCACTATCATTATTACAATAAGTTAATTTTGAAATTTCCTATATGTGTATTCAACGTACACTGGGGAATATATCATCATTATCCTGCCCTTCACCCAGTCACCTGGGGTCGGCGCAACATGTTTTCTCCTTCCATACTCCTCTATCATATAACATTTCTTTGCTCACTCCCCTCTTACCCATATCGTCTTTCACGCAATCTATCCATTTCTTCTTAGGTCTACCTCTTCCTCTATATCCTTCCACATTCATAGTTAACATTCTCTTACCAACCTCATTTTCAATTCGTCTCATCACATGTCCATACCATCCCAAACGCGCACTTCTCTATGCTTCTCTGTAACAGGTACCACTTTCAGACTTCCTCTAACATATTCATTCCGTATTCTATCCATTCTCGTTACTCCACATATCCATCGCAACATTCGCACCTCTGCTGCATGCAATCGCCTTTCATCACTGGGGAATATATATTTGAAGTATTTTGCACATTGCGTTCCCTTTCCCATACATTTAATTAAAATTTTATTATTCCTACCCTCAATATCGTACTCATTATTGTTGATATAAAAAAATCTAACTCTAGTCAAATTTTGTTACAGCTTACGAAAACAGTTTACCCAGTAAAGGCGAAGAGAACATGGAGAAGAATTTGGACGTCTTCGTCAGCTATAGAAGGTCAAATGGATCGCAGTTGGCTAGCTTGCTCAAAGTGCACTTACAGTTGAGAGGTTTCACGGTTTTCATCGATGTGGAGAGGCTAGAAGCAGGCAAATTTGACAATAATTTGCTGCAGAGTATCAGACAAGCTAAACACTTCTTGCTAGTTCTCACACCAAACGCCTTGGACAGGTGTAAGAGTGATCATGACAGGAAAGACTGGGTCCATCGGGTAAGTGCATTTTAGTTTGGCAACATATTGTACTTAAAAACCACATTAGTTTAATCTGAAGTAAATTTATTAATATTGTTTTTTTCTTTTTATTTGTTATATAATCGAACTAGCGACCCGCCCTCGCTTCGCTTCGGAAACTGTAATTTATTATTGATTTCTCCACTATTTAATGGACGTTATTATACATACAAACCTTCCTCTTCAATCACTCTATCTATTAAAAAAAACCGCATCAAAATCCGTTGCGTAGTTTTAAAGATTTAAGCATACATAGGGACAGAGAAAGCGACTTTGTTTTATACTATGTAATAAAGCTATAAAGTTTTCGAAACCAAATCTCATTATTACATACTTGTTTCTTTGACAGAAATTTAACTTTTTTTGTTCTCTTGTAGGAAATTGTAGCAGCGTTACAATCGCAGTGTAACATTGTGCCAATTATCGACAACTTCGAATGGCCTAAAGCTGAGGAGTTGCCTGAAGATATGAGAGCCGTGTGCCATTTCAACGGAGTCCGGTGGATTCACGACTACCAAGACGCTTGCGTCGAAAAACTTGAAAGGTAAGAAGAAGGCATTGCGGTGACGGACATACAAATGGACCTAAAAATTCCCACAGTAAAGGAAATAGTCGCTTACAATAAGAAATACCAAAACATTGACACATGTCAATAAATTGGTGTCAGACCTAGGAGGCACAGGGGCTGTGCAGTTTACTAGAATATGGAGGCACAGTATCCCTTAGGCCTTAGAGAATAGATATTAAATCTTACAATTAAACATGAAGATGTCACTGGACATCTGACTCTGTTTATATAACTAATAAGATTAAAATCAGCCAAAGGAATATTGTTAATTGAGCTTGGTTGTAACTATACTGAGACCTTAGAACTTATATCTCAAGGTGAGTGGCGCATTTACGTTGTAGATATCAATGGGCTCCAGTAAACACTTAACACCAGGAGTGCTGTGAGATCGTCCAACCATCTAAGCAACAAAAATAAAAAAAAATCAAATACAAGGCTTGTTTTAATTGAGTTTTCTTTTATTATTATTTTAGTTTCCTACGTGGAAAGTCTAATCTCGCCAATCGCCTAGAGGGACAGCTCAGAGGTCGCGGGGACGTCCAAACCCCCGGGACCGCTACGATAGGTCGCGGACCGCCGAACTATCAACGGATGGCGTCTTGCGAGAGCCGCGGTAGTGATAAAGCAGATTGACTAGAGCCGTCCATACACACGCTGCCGCCTATTAGGTAACGAATCATTTTTCTATTTATCGACCTATAATTTGTTTACAACGCTACCTTGATAACCAGCCAGAATAGCCAGAGTCATATATGACTATAGTCTAGTTTCCGTCAGAATATTATATATATGGGTAGGGTGTATCAAGAACCAGTATGGGAAGCTACTACGACCCTGCCTGTCCATTTCTGCCGCGAAGCAATCATGCAGGGGAGTGCTCTGAGGAATTGTTTGAGATGATCCCCTCATCTCCTTTTTATCATCGCACCTCCCGCCATCGGAGCAGAGTTCATCCATATTATCTGGAACCACTGCGTTCATCGACAGTGCGTTTCCAGAGGTCCTTTTGGCACGTACCTTCCGGCTATGGAATGATCCCCTCCACGGTGTTTCTCGAGCGCTATGACATGTCTTTCTTCAAACGAGGCTTATGGAGAGTATTAAGCGGTAGACAGCGGCCTGGCTCTGCCCCTGGCATAGCTGAAGTCCATGGGCGACGGTAACCACTCACCATCAGGTGGGCCGTATGCTCGTCTGCTTACAAGGACAATAAAAAAAAACATTGAAGCGTTCCTACATAAATATAGTCCTTGACATTGTAGACGTCGTCATTCACGTCATTCATCTTGTTGTCTGTGAGCTCCTAAATCCAATAAGCACTAGGTATGCAGGCTGGCTATTTTTAGGAAAAAATATTCATAAGTATCAAAAAGAAGGTCTGCTAAGCTGTACTCTTAGTGCATTAAAGACCCATACTTTGTCTGTGAGGATATTAAAAATGTTGTTTTTCTTTTTTTAGACCACGCCGTAATCGCCATTCCCTGAATAAAGCCACACCAATCACCACGCAAAGTTGTGAACAATTGAACAGCAGTAACGTCTCGTCGAAGAGCGTATCTCCAGAAAAATCTTTGCACAGTCTGCCCGAGAGACTATCTGAAAGTAGTGATAATTTAGATTTAAACGAAGCCGAAAGAACATCACGGAGATGTCGTAGCTGCGAAGGGATACTCGACGCAGATGAGCAACGTCACACCCAATTGTCATTGCCTGCGCCTTTAGATGCCGCCACGCAAACGAAGAGAAAACGAAATTTTATGGACAGATGCGTGAACAAAGTGAGACTATGCTGATAAATGATGATGATAATGATGATAAATAAACATATTCGAATAAAACAGGAACGCATACGCTTGCAGAGTGTGTATTTAAAATGACTGCGTTATTAATTGGACTGTAATCGCATTAATTAAGTGGATCTTATTTTTTAAAGTACAAATGTTGTGCGCACATTGTGTATATAATTTTGTGTACGCATATTTAATTCTAAAAGTGTACCTAGTAGAAACACATTCGGTATATATTAAAGATTGTAATCTCATTGAGTGCATGTGGAAATTATGTGAAAAGTAATTGCTACCCTGCTGTGTTGGAGGAACATCGCATAAGGTGGTAATGTTGTTATAAAATGGCCAGTTTGCTATTATTATAGTATGGCGTGTTTATTATACGTATAATTTTCTCGATTTTGGCAAATAATATCTCTCTATCTCTTCACTCTCTATAGATTTTACAAAGAGTTAATGGATGTAGCTATTTTACTTTGTCTTATTATCTTGCCAATAAAGTATTGTAAAAAGAAAACAAAATTATAAATTGCAAATGTGATAGCTTAGATCTTCTAGAAATTATATAAAATAAATACAATCACTCAATATAAAAGATTCGCTAGTACATACCTAATTTATTTTTTCACTATTTTATGGAATACTATTGTAAAGACGATGATACTGTGAATTGTACAAAATTTTAATAGTGTGTAGTGTTCATTTTAAGATATAACCATAGAGCTATTTTATCCAGAAGCATTGTATTTATGTACTAGCCTAACAAGAAAATAAATATTATCAAAACAAACTTCGATTTTTATATTTCTATTGATGGGCATACCATACTTGGATTAAGACTTAAGACACCTATCATGACTTCAATGGTTGACAAATATAACTAGTCAGGTCATAAGTATTGTCACACAGTAAAAACTTTTCTTTTAGAATGCTGGCCACAAAAAAATTTTTTTAATTCGAATTTCGAATTGTTCATGAAAATAAAAATGTATACTTTTAGAATTTTACTCGTTTTTAAATATATGGAGTGGACGCTTAAAGAAGACCGTGTTGCAGTTATTGCGTTGCATCGTTGCGGTTACGCGCCAATTCAAATTTTTAACATACTGAAAAATTTGAATATAACCAAAAGATTCGTTTATCGTACCATCAAACGATACAATGAAGACTCTAGTGTAGATGACAGGTCAAGAAGTGGTCGCCCTCGGTCTGTTAGGACTCCAGCAGTGATAAAAGCTGTGAAGGCGCGAATTCAAAGAAATCCCAAACGTAAGCAGAAACTGTTGGCCCTTCAGATGGGGTTAAGCAGAACCACGGTGAAAAGGGTGTTAAATGAAGACTTAGGGCTTCGGGCATATCGAAGAAAAACAGGACATCGTTTGAATGCTCGTCTAATGGACCTGAGACTGAAGAGATGCCGCGCTTTGTTGAAGCGGTACGCGGGAAAAAAATATCGGGAAATTCTTTTTTCGGATGAAAAAATTTTTACCGTAGAAGAGAGCTACAACAAACAAAATGATAAGGTGTACGCACACAGTAGTGAAGAAGCGAGCAACCGTATTCCGCGTGTCCAACGAGGTCATTTTCCATCCTCGCTCATGGTATGGTTGGGAGTTTCTTATTGGGGCTTAACAGAGGTACATTTTTGTGAGAAAGGTGTAAAAACGAATGCAGTTGTGTATCAAAATACAGTCCTGACGAACCTTGTGGAACCTGTTTCTCATACCATGTTCAATAACAGGCACTGGGTATTCCAACAAGATTCGGCGCCAGCTCATAGAGCGAAGAGCACACAAGACTGGCTGGCGGCGCGTGAAATCGACTTCATCCGGCACGAAGACTGGCCCTCCTCCAGTCCATATTTGAACCCGTTAAATTACAAGATATGGCAACACTTGGAGGAAAAGGCGTGCTCAAAGCCTCATCCCAATTTGGAGTCACTCAAGACATCCTTGATTAAGCCAGCCGCCGATATTGACATGGACCTCGTTCGTGCTGCGATAGACGACTGGCCGCGCAGATTGAAGGCCTGTATTCAAAATCACGGAGGTCATTTTGAATAAACTTTAGTGTCATAAGAATCTATGTTTTGTTAAGTTCATTTTGGTATATGAATGGTTACATAATGAATAAACTTGTTTCAATTATTTTACATTAAACATGTGACAGAATTTATGACCTGACTAGGTAGATATCTATATTTTGAAGTAAATAGTTTTTTCAGTACTGTTTCACCATGTTTGTCAATAAAATAAATGATCAGGGAATCAATAAATAATAGTAGAATGTTGATGGCATAATTCAAATTATTTTTTTGCCAATAGAAAATAAAACAGACTTTGACTTAGAACAGTTGTTATCTGCATTTTTGTGAAAATATTTGACACAATATAATCAATGTACAATACACTATACACTACAAACACAAAATACACAAAAAGGGTTCTACTAAAAATGTCTATTAAGTCCTGTGGGATCTATATCCATAGCACTTATATCCTATGCAGGTGTGATTCTACTTTACATGTATAACGAACATCTAAAACGAGCCCTAGATGACTGGGAAGGCGGAATCTCTTGGTGACAAAAGAATCCGTAACTAATGATATGTGGAGGAAAATGTGTTGTACATTTTGCACCATTAGATCGATTGGCTGATCTTCTATGTAGAGTGGAGAAAAAGAGTAAAGCAGTTGATCTAGCGTGATTACCGCCAAAACCAAAGTCCTAGTAATAGACAGATGGGGTAGGATGATACATTCTCACCGAGACGCCTCCCTGGGACCTCGTCGGCTGCCTCCAGGCCAGTGCCACCACTGCGATAGCTGCAACGAGGAGACGGCGGAGCACACGCTCTCGTACTGTCGGAGCCCCGTGGTTCGTCAGGAACGTCGACCTCCATGACGACCTGGACTTAGAGTCCATCAGTAAGTATCTCCAGTCGGCGTCGATGCGCCACTTCGATAAAGCGGCACGACACGAGAACCCTCTCATCGTGGCCGCCGGTAACTACATTCCCAATCCTGCGGACAGAATGGAAAGCAGTCGACGTCGCCCAAAACACGTCATCTCGGATCCTCCCGATCCACTAACGGTGCTTTTAGGTACTTCAAGCACCGGTCACCGTTCTCGTCGAACCCGTCGCTTGCGACGAAGGGCTCGACGAGTAAATTAACTCNTTAGAAATAAGGTGACACTCTACAAAACTTGCATACGCCCCGTCATGACCTATGCAAGTGTAGTGTTCGCTCACGCGGCCCGCACTCACTTAAAATCCTTCCAAATTATTCAATCCCGTTTTTGCAGGATAGCCGTCGGAGCCCCGTGGTTCGTCAGGAACGTCGACCTCCATGACGACCTGGACTTAGAGTCCATCAGTAAGTATCTCCAGTCGGCGTCGATGCGCCACTTCGATAAAGCGGCACGACACGAGACCCCTCTCATCGTGGCCGCGGGTAACTACATTCCCGATCCTGCGGACAGAATGGAAAGTAGTCGACGTCGCCCAAAACACGTCATCTCGGATCCTCCCGATCCACTAACGGTGCTTCTAGGTACTTCAAGCACCGGTCACCGTTCTCGTCGAACCCGTCGCTTGCGACGAAGGGCTCGACGAGTAAATCAACTCCCAGACACAGCCCACTGAGTTTCTCGCCGGATCTTCTCAGTGGGTCGCGTTTCCGATCCGGTGGTAGATTCTGCGAAGCACGGCTCTTGCTAGGGTTCGTGTTAGCAACGTCATCAGGTTTGAGCCCCGTGAGCTCACCTACAAAAGTTAGGGTTACGCTGAAATAGCCTTTCAAGGCTCTCAGGCTAGGTAGAAAAAAAAAAAAAAAAAAAAAAAAAAAAAAAAAAAAAAAAAAAAAAAAAAAAGAAAGAAAGGAGCAGCGCCGCGTTGCAAAAATAGGACCGGACTTGTCGCTTCTAAACGTCCTGGTTACGATACTCGGCAGCGACGAGTCCTGCCAGGCGATGCTCGACGTCTGCGAGACCACCATCACGGAGAAGGAGGCGGCGGAACGAGAGAGGGAGAGCTCTTCTTCCATATCGGCGCGGTGCCTGCGGCCTGCGATGCCGTCCGCATTTTCGTCGTCGCTGTCGTCGCCGAACATACTGTGGAAGGGCAACCCGGTCGGCGGTTATCGTGTTCCGACCCGGCAGGCTGGTTCTGGCCCAGCGGGGTATCCCGGAACACCAGCGGCATTGCCCGGGCGACCTGGTAGGGTCGCGGTACCGCGGAGACCGACGTCGTTGCGATAGTCGACGACCCGTCGGTCGGGCGTCCTCGGGGTGGCGCCGCGTGTCTGGTTGTAGTGTTGACCGCGGGAACCCCCCTACTACTGGGTTACCTGGTTTTGTTTGACCCAGGACGGAGATCGGACGTCGGATGTAAGAGTGCAGGGGAGACGTTTAATGGGTGGGGCCCTAAAATTCCTTGGGCCCGCGGTCGGCTCCCAACACCTTGCAGATCGTCAAGTCCCACATACCCCGTGCGCCCCCTAGGCACGGGACCTCGTAGGAGGTTCGGCCCCCGCCCGAAAATTATAATAATAATAATAAATGGTTAGGAATTGGACTTGGAAAAAATGAATGACTAAATATTAGAATCAGAAGGAGATTATTGTATGTCTGTATTTTAAACTATACTGATAACTATATAGATGTATATTTTGGAACTTTGCAATATTTATACTCTATTTATTATAATACTATATTTATATAATTAAACTTTATACTTTAAATTTCAAATATTTCATAATCAGACATAATTAAAATGATTACATAAAGTAACTAAGTTTTTTTGAAATCTAGATTAATTAACATAAAAAAGTAAACGAAATGAAACCGACCCAAAGTTTTAAGTTACACTGTGGTGGTTGTTGGCATTCACTTTGTAAGTATTCGTTCCGATGAAAACTTAATATCAGCCAAACATAAAACAATAAATAAATAAAACTGCAATAATATGTATACTTTTTTATCTATTCACTTGAATCGAAAATGAACATTCATCACATCCAATTATTACACTAGATTGCACAAAATTACTTTTATTAAGCACATACACCCCACCACATCTACAATCGTATAAATACACATTTTCATCACTGTCAAACACCATTTCAGACAGTCTTACTGTTTCATAAAGCAATAGATCACTATTTTCATGGCAACTTAATGTAGCATCATACTGTTTCCTGGTGCTAGGTTCTCTTAAAACTGACCAAGCTTTTTGTAATAGGCGAAACTTATTATCAGAATCATCAGTTTTATTTTTATCGGGATGTAATGTCAAAGCGAGTCGCTGATAACTTTTCTTCAATTCTTCAAGGCTTGCTGTTCTATCGCAATCTAGTATTTGATAATAATCAATAGGTAGGTCATTACTTTCCATATTTAATAAAAACTCGTAAAAGAGTTTTATTTATAAAAAATAGTTTACCTCTCTTTAATTCAATTGCTGTTCCCACTTCCCAGTCTTTGATTAGAATTTTTTTGTATTTTATTTATGGCCTGGCCCAGTCTTTGATTGATTGTTTGAAATTCATTCTTTATTGTATTATCTATAATTTGTTCATTGGACGGGCAAAAGGAGATAGACCATACAAATTTCAATACTCTTGTCACAAAACTGTAACCTTTAAATAAATATAAATATAATATATATAAATTTAAATGTATGTTAGGTAAGGGGAATAATGGAATTAAATTAATTGCTCATGGGATAAAATTTAAGGAAGTGAATTAAGAAAGACATCACCGTAGGTATTTGTTAGATAATAAATAAGGTTCCATTAAAACTTATAAGATAGGTATGGCGTTCAAATCTGAAGAAACGCACAATTTACGAAATACAATAATTTACACGACTTTGTCCTTCCCCGAAAAAAAGTCCCGCCCAATATACAATTGTTGACGAATAATACCATAGTCGTCTGTGATCACGAATACTTTATGTAGTTATTCTAAGCGTTAGAAATAATTGAAATTAAACGGTTAGGATAGTTTTATTATTATCTACGATTCGCCGAAATAGAAGAAACTGCTATAATCTTAAAATGTAACAAATTCGCTAAACGTGAAGTTTTGTCCTTTGAAGTCACCAGAAATTCCGTTTTTAGATCTGGACAAATAGGCTTGTAAGCTACCTAATGTCAAGGAAAGGATGTCAAAAGTATAACCTCAAAATTTGACAGCCGGGTAACAATAAACATCAAACAAACTAAAACTTATAGAAGTTTTAAATTGTTAACACAAATGTAATGTTGTTTTAGTAAAAATTTCAATATTAACACATTGAAATGCCTACTTGGAACCAAATACAGTCACAACTTAGGAATCCTAACAATCCAGTAGTGTTTTTCGACATTACTGTAGGAACAACGGTAAATACCTCCCCGAACTTATTGTTTTTTATTAGATTTAAAAGAACACACAAAAATTTATGTTTATAAAATATTTATGTTTATTTTAGGAAATAGGTCGTATGATATTCGAGTTATTCGCCGACGTAGTACCAAAAACTAGTGAGAACTTCAGAGAATTTTGTACCGGTGAATACAGGCGGGATGGTGTGCCCTTAGGTTACAAAGGAGCTACTTTTCACAGAGTAATAAAAGATTTTATGATTCAGGGTGGCGATTTCGTAAATGTACGTATTAAGTTTTGTTTATGATAAAACGATGCCTAACTGAACATGATGGAAGTTTATTAATATTTACTATTCATTTTAGGGAGACGGTACAGGCGTTATGAGCATATATGGTGGAAGCACTTTTGCAGATGAAAACTTTGGTTTGAAACATGACTCTCCAGGGTTATTGTCCATGGCAAATAGTGGTAAAGACACGAATGGCTGTCAGTTCTTTATCACATGTGCAAAATGTAATTTCTTAGACAATAAGCATGTAGTATTTGGTAGAGTTATAGATGGATTACTTGTCATGAGGAAAATAGAAAATGTACCAACAGGACCAAATAATAAACCTAAAATACCAGTAACAATATCTCAATGTGGACAAATGTAAATAAAACTTCACTTTAAATTTTATCTTTTTATTATCATTAAATCACAATGGCTCTGCCTCACATTTCTAACAGACTAATAGATAAAATATAATATTCACAAATTTTTACATAAAGTAATCACAATAAATACTCAATAATTATGTACACTGAATTGAACTAATTTTTTTGGTTTGCAATTAGTAAGCGTCAAGTTTTCAAAGTGTGATTGTTTATTAGTAACTTTCTAGGCTGCATTGTTGCCGGCCCATTGCGCCTTCCGACTTCTTTAATGAAAGCACCTTCCATTTGTCGAGCAACTTGGTCAAAAAACAAATTAGATAAATGTGAATGTATAGCTGATCTAAATTCGAATGTTATCTGGAAGTCCACAACACACGACTGCTGTTCTCTTTTTAGACCAGGACTGAATCTCCAAAGGGTCAACATATGGTGGAAGAGTCTTCCATCAGAACACTCTGCTTTTACCAAATGTGGTTTGACTAGCGTAACATTTGAAGTGTAGCTTTCATTGATAGGAGGAAAGCCAATGATCAAGTCCGCCTTCAGGTTTCCTGGTGTTTCTTTCAAAACTATAGACTTTTTGCACCACGGTAGGAATTTGTTGTAGCTTCCTACATCTGATACAACTTCAAACATTTGCTCCATTGTGTAGCTGTGAAAATAGATTTATATGAAACTAGATTCCATTTTAAGGTATACAGTAATGGATATAAACAAAAATAAAGATAATGATTTACTGTTAGGCTATTAATCCAGCTATGATTAGTTCATACTAAATATAAAAACGTGTTCGGCACTTAAATTGTACAAATTTTTTGTACATTATTTATAAGGATAAACAAGTAGCCTTATAGATCTCACTAAAAGACAACAGCAATAATCATAAGGAATATAAAAATATTGAGCTACATTATAATATGTCTATCTAAGAGTACATCTCTAAATCCTTTCAATTAATATTAAGCAATTACTAGAGACCTTAAACAACACATGAATACAGCTACTTTGAGACAGTCACAATCATACCACTTTTGGTTTTAATGGTTGTTTAACCTTTTAAATTAGAGAGAAGGATTGCTTTGTGGCAAAATTAGCAATACAATATTCTCTACCACCAGTAATTACCTATGGAAATATTTAGATGTTGAAGAGCAAGACGGGGTGAAGTGGAGACAACTTGTAAAGACCCTATGTACCAGCGGAGTACCCTAGGAGTACAACAACAGTGGGTGTCCCATCTTAAGATCACAGTGACTAAAATTTATCAACAGTTTAATTGTTATTTTTTTTTACTCACCCAACAAGTTGCCTTCCAGTATAAACTCTTGTTTTGTTTGTTATTGGCAGGTTTATAAAACTACGATTTTGTTGTTGAATGCCTTGGCAATGACATAGTGCACTACCTTGTCTATTTACGTAATGACCCTGAAAACTATAGGAAGACAAGAGTTTCCTGAGAAAATATTTAAGATAAAAGAGTTATGCATTATTGTAATCGATGAAAACTCTTGGAAATTCATAAATAATAAGAAATTAAAATAAACAACAAATTCTCAACGTTAGTTACCTGAAAACTACATTTTTCTTGCGAAAAATGTATCGCCCTACGGCACAACTTTGAGAGATAATCATTGTATTAATTCTAATAGTGACTAAAGCATTTATTACTGTTTATACATTTATATTTAGTCATTTTCAAGGGAATAGTTGCACTCACACTGATTGATTTAATACTTTGCAATTTATTTCACGCGTGTAGTCAGTTTTGCTAAATTGTGACGTCACGTCAATAATAATCAGTTGTCACTGCCAAATTTCCTAGTAGTAGTTCTACTTTTCCAAGTGGAAGGTAAAAGTATCAAACCATATAGCCTAATCTTAACATTTATTTTATGGAAAATGATAATATGAAGTGAAATGAAGTTGATTGATTTGGAACACTAATCAATNGTTTAAACAAAAGGATTTTATTATCATAGACATGAATACAAAAAAGTTAAATTAGATAAAGTTTAAACAAAAGGATTTTATTATCATAGACATGAATACAAAACAGATGGCGCGTAACGGAAAAAAGTGACGCGTAACCGAAAAATGTGACGGTAAATTTTTTTCCAACGCCGATAAGGAAGTTTCACTTCAAAAAGTCTCGGCAATCCAATAGTAGTAGTACCTAGTTCCATTTTTCCAACTAGAAAACCGAAACTATCACACCATACAGCCTAAGCTTTGTAAATAGTGTTATATGAAAAATTATATTATCATGGAGCGAAATAAACTGAAGTTCAGTTATCCAATTAATCAATTGGGATGAAATTAAATGAAACAAGTAAAACAGTGGTCATTTACTGAGATTTTTTGAGAGATCCCGAGACGTTAGGTCCTGGGAGTTTGTTACATTTTCTCACTTTGTGCACTTTCATAGATTCTAATTAGTTAATAAACCACTTTTAATATACGTTTAAACAGGAAGAAACACAAAATTAACAAAAAAAAAGTGAGCAGTCACGGGACGCCTGGCAGACGTGAAACATCGACATTATTTGGTAAAATTAATATGCAGAAATGAACAGATTGTGATAGGAACTAAATATGTCATAATGATAAAATAAAATCTATCGAAAAAATAATTTGTTTTCAAGTAAAACACAGGTTATGGGTACTGTAGTAAACAAAACTGTATACACTACGGAGTATACACTATAGATATCTGAGAGAGATGGCTTAACGCCGGATCGAGTGGGAGAGAATCGCACAGTCGATTGCGCATGGCGACGTGTCGCCACGCCAGAAATCGGTTTTACGTGTGGCTATAGATGTTTCACATCAAAATAAAACAGTTCACACAGCTTTACTCCTCGCGTTCCCATCAAAAAGTCCTACCAATGCGATATTACACAAAAAAACAAATAGATAATTTTTGTTTTGTTCATTGCATAGGCGCCATGGGCAAAAGGGCAATTTTTGATGTAACGATCAAAGTTGTGTAGTTTGAAATGTTAAATAAAACTGACTGAAAATAAAATTAAGAAATCAAAGTAAAAGAAAACATTTACCGTAGAATGAGCAGCAATGTCCTCTGTAGGATTTACCATCCAGGATTTACTATTTAGTCCATTTACAATATATAATGATTGAGTTTTTGACTTTCTGTTGCATGTAGCATTTTAACTATGATACGGGTTGGGATTTTGAGTTCCGGTAACTATTGCTTAATGCCCCATATATTAATATGCATTGATAATTATAAACCATAGAAAGAAATATAACGTGTGACTGTGAATGGATAAGTACCGGTAAAATGGGGCGATTAGGGATTGAGAGGCGAATCGGGAAAAAACCGGGAAAATCTTTCGACGCTCAATATAAGTTTTATATTCGTTTCAAAATCTTCCATTTTTTGTAGTTTAATAGTAGAATGTTGAAAGTTCACAAAACAACTCTGAATATGCATGATAATAGCTGCTAACTTATAAAAAATCGCGTTTCAAATTAACTTCCTGTGGTGGTAATTATTTTAGTGCTAGAAACTTTGCTCTCTTTTATTTATTTGATAATAATAGAAGACGACTATGATTTATAAACGTTATTTAGTGTTTGAACCAGCATATATATTAAAGGTAAGTCTCAGTTGTTATTGGTTTTAATGTATTTGATTAAATAAAAATACATGTAAAAATCTGTTGTTTTTGGGGATATTGGGGACGTCTTAGGTACAAATAACAACGAAAAAGGGGTCAATTGGGATGAGAATACGTGAAATGGAAACGACCTAAGTATAAATAGGTACAGGTTTGTAGGGTTGTCTATGTAGTTATAACAATATTTTTTAAATTTGTTGGTAAAAATCTGGTTTATTCGAAGCGAAATTGGGAATAAGTCTTTAGTTGAAATAGATAAGCAATTTAATATAAGTAAGTCGATTTTGCAGAGACATGTAACAAGATCAATGAAATCTCAAGGTGGACAAAAATGTCTAAGTAATACATAATAAAATATTTAATATTTGTTCAGAGTGGGGGTATTCATCTGATTAATCCATGGAATAACCGACACACCTAATCTCTTAACCCAGATAGAAATATCAGCACTGTCGATTGCACCTATAATTGAGGTGATGTCTGCCATGTACTTTTGTCAGTTTTTCAATTTTTTTTATTGATGATCACTTTGTTGGTGCAATTAAATAAATAAATAAATTAAAACTATATATAAAAATAAAAGTAGTGCCAACCCTAGCAAATTTCTCATTTCGTCCCAATTAACCGCAATTTTCGGGTAAATAGGGATTACACCTATTTTTGCATTTTTTGCTTAAACTGGAATGCTAGTTGCATAATTTTAAATTAGACAACAAAAATGCCCCCAAGACTCAATCATTTTGATCCTGATATAGCATTATATACATCAACAACTACCTTAAAATTGCTCATAAAGTTGGAATTTGTCCCTAATCGCCCCATTTTACGGTAATCTGTAAAAATGACACCAACCCATAGATAATAAATTGAATGTATCAAAGTATCAATCAAAATATAACCTACCAGCACGTGTGAACTTTGCAGTGTTTTTCAAGTAGGTACATAATCAAGTTATTAATAATTAATTGAAGTGGAAAATTAGTTGTCGAAAATGGGTAGAAAAGCGAAATTTGATGAGACGAAAAAAGTGAAAAAAGGTCCTGGAAGGAAAGCAAAAAAACAGCCCGATCCAGTATTTAGAAAGGAGCTATGTGAGTATTCCACATAATCGTTTGTTACAAATCAACACAATCTTAATTTCAAGTTTATTACATTTTTAAAAATAACTAAGAAATTGACATTATTATCCACCACCCCGTTATTTTCTGCCAAAAATTCAAATCTACAATTTGTTCTCGAACTACGAACATTTCAAAATTATAGTTAGTTTAAATGATTAGGCAGTTCCCCAATTTTTACCCTAGCACTGCTTTTAGCATTGTGGATTATTTATTCAATAAATACTGACCATTTATAGTCCACATTGTCACACACATGTTGTATATTTGAGTCGTCTATTATCAAAGGTGGCAATCTGTGCATTTGGACAAAAAAATGTTATTGATATGTCAATACAGATTGATTTGAATATAATGGCTGAGCCTTTGCTCGCCCACCTGTCCTGGTGAAACTGGAAAGGCCTTCGGGCCACCAGTAAACTTTCAATCATGAATATAATCGTCTCCTTCAAAGAATACGGTTCAAAACCTGCATTAAATAAAGGTTAATACTTAACCTGTTATTTATCTAAGATGTCGTTCAGAAGAGTTTTCTGACTGCCAATGGAATACAAAGTCAATAATTCGTTTTTCTGATTTACCAATAATTGTCCAAAAGTCACAATGCCGGCTTTGATAATAGTCGACTCATTTATCACATGTCAACCTTTATATTTTCATAATAGTTTTGTTTTCCTATTTTAGTAGAGACTGAAGATCAGGTGAAAAAACTGACTCACAGGCAAAAGCAAAGGGCCGCAAAACGTGCCAAAAAAAAGGCTGAAATAGTTGAAAAAAGAAAAGCTATAAAACAAGGCAAGAAAAATGAAGCTAAAGAAATTGAGACAAATGACGAAGACATTAAAAAACCAGTTGTAAAAGGTAAAGCTGACCAATTAAAAAAAAAAATACATCTTTTTTTGTTTTTGTTTATTGCATAGATGGCTGGACGAGCTCATAGCCCACCTGGTGTTAATTGGTTACCGAAGCCCATAGACATCTACAACGTAAATGCCACCACCCACCTTGAGATATGAGTTCTAAGGTCTCAGTATAGTTACAAAGGCTACACCCCACCCTTCAAAGCATTTCTTCTTCATGGCAGAAATAGGCAGGGTAGTGGTACCTACCTGTGCGGACTCACAAGAGGTCCTACCATCAGTAAAAGTTCTTGGTTTTCTCAAATTCCTGTTTTTGAATGTTTGGTTGCTTGCTTTTTAAACCTCTATGATCTTATTGTGAGTAATGCAAAGGGTACCAGCTAACCTATGTTATTTTCCCATCTTCTATCTCCAGTTGTAGTATTTTTCCTTTAGTACTCCTTTTCTTTATCTTTGTTCTTTATTATTCTATTGTGTTCTATCATAGCTGTCTGAAGATGACTTCCAACTATAATTCGTGTAGTTAATGCACCCAAATGAAGCAATATAAAATGGTTAATGTAATATTCCAGGTTACTCTGATGACAACAAAGAATGGCTGAAACCAAAACAGAAGGTTAAACAACAGAAAAAACAAAAAGATTCAGACAGTGACATTTGTGATCAAGATGAGGGTTCAGAGATGGAGCAGGACTCTGAAGCTGAAAGTGAGCATGAAGAAGAAACAAAAACTGTCAGTGAAAAGTATAAGGTAAAACTAATCTTACAACTTTCTCCTAAATAGTTAATGAGTGCTATACATTGTAATAATACTGGTGGTAGAACCTTTCATGAGTCCGCACGGGTAGGTACCACCACCCTGCCTACTTCTGTTGTGAAGCAGTAATGTGTTTCGGTTTGAAGGATGGGGCAGCCGTTGTAACTATACTTGAGACCTTAGAATTTATATCTCAAGGTGGGTGGCGCATTTACGTCGTAGATGTCAATGGGCTCCAGTAACCACTTAACACCAGGTGGGCTGTGAGCTTGTCCACGCAATAAAATAAAGTAATGGTTTATCACAGAAGATAATTTGATTTGTTAAACACTTGTAGGTGGGAACTCTTGATGATCTATTCAAAGATTCTGACGAAGAGGAGGCGGATCCAAGTTCAGAAGAAGAAGGATCTGTAAATAGTGGCAATGCAGGATATAATTCTGATTCAAGTGAAGAAGAATCTGATGAGGATGGTGATGATGAGGATATGCTGCCTATTGAAAAAGCAAATGTGAAGCTGAAGAAGAAACAAAAGGAGGAAAAGAAATTGGCAGATGAGGAAATGCAATTGAATATATCAAAACAAGATGTTTTTGCTTTCCCTTCAGAAGAAGAGCTACAGAATCCTACCAGCCTTCAAGATGTACAACAAAGGATCAAAGATGTAGTCTCTGTTTTGACAGAATTTAATAGATTAAAAGAGGAAGGGCGTTCAAGATGTGAATACACAGACTTATTACTTAAAGATCTTTGTACCTATTATAGTTATAATGAGTTTTTGATGGAAGTTCTTATGCAAATATTTCCTGTACAAGAATTAGTGGAGTTTTTGGAAGCAAGTGAGATTGCTAGACCTGTGACGATAAGAACTAACAGTCTCAAAACTAGAAGAAGAGATTTAGCCCAGGCATTGATTAATCGAGGAGTCAATTTGGACCCAGTTGGCAAATGGAGCAAGGTTGGCCTTGTTATTTATAGTTCCACAGTACCTATTGGTGCAACGCCTGAGTATTTAGCTGGTCACTATATATTACAAGGTGCATCAAGTTTTTTACCAGTAATGGCATTAGCCCCTCAAGAAAATGAGAGAATATTAGATATGTGTGCTGCTCCAGGTGGGAAAGCGTCACATATAGCTGCTATAATGAAAAATACTGGTGCCTTATTTGCAAATGATGCAAACAAAGAAAGAACAAAAGCAGTTGTGGGAAATTTCCACAGATTGGGTGTAGTCAATGCTGTTATATGCAATTATGATGGTCGACAATTCCCTGAAGTTATTAAAGGGTTTGACAGGGTATTGCTTGACGCACCATGTACTGGTACTGGGGTAATTGCTAAAGATCCCAGTGTAAAGACTACGAAAGACCAGAAGGACATACAAAGGTGTTTTAATTTGCAGAGGCAGCTATTGTTAGCTGCAATTGATTGTTGTAATGCCAAATCAAGTACGGGCGGGTATATTGTGTACTCCACTTGTTCTATTTTACCTGAAGAAAATGAATGGGTTGTAAATTACGCATTGAAGAGACGAAATGTGAAATTGGTTCCCACAGGCCTTGATTTTGGAACTGAAGGTTTTATGAAATACAGGCATCATAGGTTCCATCCATCATTAAAATTGACTAGAAGATTTTATCCTCACACACATAATATGGATGGATTCTTTGTCGCTAAATTAAAGAAATTCTCCAATGTCATTGTAAGTTTTTTATGAAGTACCATCGTAATAATGACCTACTAAATTAACCTGAATTTGTTTTTTACTCTAAATGGTCTTACAGTCCATCTAATATGAATTTACACTGGGGACTTTGCCAATAAGAAATTGATGTCTCAAAAGAAGGGAAAGCTTTCTATTATTTCTTCTAGAAAGAATCAATTTAAAAGAAATGAGATTTTACAATAGTCTTATCAGTATAGTATAATTGGTGACTCAGTAGTAGTTCAAGAAATAGTTCCATTTTACATATTTAGTGAACTTTATTTTTATTTATTTTTAGCCTGAGGCAGTTATAGATGATGATGATAAGGAAACCGAAGGTGCAGATGAAGAAACAGTTGTCACAAACGAAGGAGATCAGTCTACAGATGCCATTTCTAATAATGTAACTTCCAAGGTCAGTGGCCCCCAGAAAAGAACTTTGGAGCCAGAGTCGAATATAGCTGAGCCACAAACAAAGAAAATGAAAGGTGAAAATGCAAAAAGGTAATTTTCAATTAATGTTTTTTTTTTTTATTGCTTAGATGAGTGGACGAGCCTTGATATATCAGTTCTGAGGTCTCAGTATAGTTACAACGGCTGCCCCGCCCTACAAACCGAAACGCATTACTACTTCACGGCAGAAATAGGCAGGGCGGTGGTACCTACCCGCGCGGACTCACAAGAGGTCCTACCACCAGTAATTACGCAAATTCTAATTTTGCGGGTTTGATTTTTATTACACGATGTTATTCCTTCACCGTGGAAGTCAATCGTGAATATTTGTAGAGTACGTATTTCATTAGAAAAATTGGTACCCGGGCTGGGATTCGAACCCCGGTGCATCGCTCAACACGAATGCACCGGACGACTTTATCGTTAAGGTCACGACGACTTCTTGATGTTAAGGGAAGTGTTGTTTTTAAAGCAGTGTTTATTTATTTATTATAAAATTACAAGTCTGGTATACCAATGTTATATCAGAGAATAGTACGAACTGTGTTAACATTGAATCATAGAAACAACTAGAAAACTTTGTTACCTTATTTTCAGTTCCACTGGAAACGCTGCGGTCAATAAGAAAAATAAAAATAAAAATAAGAAGGGACCTCAGTCACAGAACCTAAACAACTCAAATAGTAGAGTTCAGGGTAAAATGGGCAGTGCAGAAAAATTGCAAAACTCAAGAAAGCAGCAAGAACCCTCACTACATGGTCAAGGAAAGCAACATGAAAAGAAAAATAGTAAACTTGGTAAAAACAGAAAAGTAAATGGTCTGACTGAAAATAAAAATAAAAAGGCAAATGAAAACAAACCTAACAGTTCCAATCCAATGAAGACAACAAATAAAAAGCATAGTAAAATTAATAAAAATCACAGTAAAATCAAAAGAAAGGTTTGATAAACGTTTATGTAAGGATAGCATAAAAGAAAGTGAGAATTTATGTGCTATTTGACATATTATATTGGATTGTAATAAAGTTACTGCTATTATAAGTAATGGTTTTTCTTTCTACATGCATAATTATATCAATTTATGACATTTAAATAGGTATTAAACACTTAAAAAAACTGAAATATTACTTCATATGCCTCCACCTAATATTAAATTGATCTAATGGCTATAAATATGGCAAATTTCGTATTAAAATAACAAACCCTGAAAATCTTCGTAAATTTTTAAAAGGCTTAAAATAAATGTATGCCAGTGAATAGTGTAATTAAATGATACTAAAGTTAGTAGCAATTTTAATGCAGCAGCAGTTTTAAGTTCCTTTTGAAGATTGTTTTTATTTCAGATTTTTTGTTATTTGGTTTTATTTTTCTACGACACCATGTTTTTGAGATAAACCATGTCACTGCCACAACTGAGAGGAATCTAAGGAAACTTCGTATTATGTTGAAATCTATCAAAAGGTTTTTATTACAACAGAAGCACGTACATTACGTATCAAACAATTAGACTTACATACATAATAAATAATAATATAATAATAAAGCTTTCTTTATTCCATACAAATTAATTCATAATTAATTACAAGATGTTTCAATACCAGTAAATAAAAATATAACATAATTGACAACATAATTAGAACTTAACATGCAATAAAGAAACATATTCTCTCGTCAGTCTCCTAAACAAAATGAAGCTGTTTTCTAAAGCACGCCACAACGTATTGGGTTACTTTTCACGAACGTCTACGATGAATGAATTTGTGTAATTATTACTTGTGGCGAGACGCAACATACTGTAACGTAAAATTCACGTAGGTAATTAGTTTCCACTATTTGATATATTTTTGGCACTAAGCAGTTTCGCCTGTGGGTTTGTGGGTTCCGGAATGCACTTAGTTGGGTTGTGTGCAAGTAAAATATAGTAAATATTGTTGATTGGGAGTTTGACGTGTTAAACAGTCTTGACAAAATAAACTTGTGCTTTCGACCTATGGAGGGTAGAGGTAAGAAGCATCATCCCATATAGGGGACAAGAAAAGTGTTCACCTGTAAACACTTTATTGTTGTTGAAAACACAAGTTATTGTTGAAAAACTCCGAAATAGCGCTAGTGTAGGAAGCTGTACACATAGTAGTGTGCACATACAAGTGTGCTGGATTGAAGTTAAGTGCGATAGTTTATGACGCTGTTTTTAAAATCTTTCTACTTGTTACTATGGCGCCACCTTAATTGGCTACTTTGAGTGAACACTTTTAATACACGGAGATGGTGCTGATTGCCTCTTTTTTATGATATATATGCTGATAACTTTTAGAGGCTATTTCAGCTTCGTCCTAACATGTAGGTGAGCTCACGGGGCTTAATCCGGAGTGTTGATAACACTGGCCCTAGCAAGAGCAGTGCTTCGCAGAATCTACCACCGTATCGGAAACGCGACTCACTGAGAAGATCCGGCGAGAAACTCACTGGGCCCTTGCCTCTACTCTCCATACTTCGACCTTAAATGTCAAGATTTATAGCGGCATTGACGTTTTGTCTATGGATTCTGTATTTCACAACTTAAATTTGGTCTCCCATCCTTACAGATTTCAAAGTTGATTTTTTATTTTTATTGCTTAGATAGGTGGACGAGCTCACAGCCCACCTGGTGTTAAGTGGTCACAGCCCACCTGGTGTCACAGCCCATAGACATCTACAACGTAAATGCGCCACCCACCTAAGGTCTCAAGTATAGTTACAACGGCTGGCCCACCCTTCAAACCGAAACGCATTACTGCTTCACGGCAGAAATAGCCAGGGTAGTGGAACGTACCCGTGCAGACTCACAAGAGGCCCTACCACCAGTAATTACGAAATTATAATTTTCCGAATTTGATTTTTATTACACGATATTATTCCTTCAATGTGGAACAATTGTTAACTATGTACCTATATCATTATGAAAATTGCTACCCGCCTGCGGGATTCGAACACCGTTGCATCACGAATGCACCGGACGTCATAACTTTTAGGCCACGAGGATCAAATTTCTAAATCATTATATAGTTGTTTCATGACGTCGGAAATTCTTTACAAAAAAAACAAAAATATTTTAACGTTCCACCCATTTCTGCCGCGAAGAAGATTCTAAAGATAGGAACGTTATTCCCAAAGCAAGGTGGGCTTATGGGGTTGGTTCTGTCATGATCGTGAGTTCCACCATTTAATGCTAGATGGACACGTAAAACAATTAAAACAATTGATATTTTCACCTCACGGCTTGAGATGATCTCTGACAATCGTGTGTCCATGGTGTTCCCATTTTAAGCTTTGTAGGCAATAAACGTGAAACTAAATATTACCTAAATTTCTTTTCCCCTTGGGTGATTGTAATTTATGTAGCATTATGCATTATTTTATAAAAGCTTTCTTATTTATTTATCAATCTCAGGCGAGTATGAATTGAAACATTGGTGCAATTTTGTTTATTTCGCTCATTTAATTTCATCAGTTTCGCATGTATTTGTAATAGCGTGACAGTTATCTATATAAATAAATAAAATTGACGTGTCTGTTTGTAATAATGTAATAACCACTTTTTACTTGATGTGTAAGTATACACAGTGCGTATACACATTATACCAAAATAATTTTTTTTAAGTTTTGTCTGTCGCTTTGTTCCGTCTAATCTCTGGAACGGCTGGACCGATTTTGACTGATAGGTAGCTGATGATTTAAGGAGTAACTTAGGCTACTTTTTTAGACTAGCTTCGTCTCGCGGCGTCACCCGAGTACAACAATAACCGCGGGTAACAGCGCGGGACTCAACTAGTTTATTATAATTGTTCACTGGATATATTTTCATTTAACCAAATAAATTTGTATATACCGCCTTTGTTGAAAGTTGAAAGAGAAAAAAAAAGTAGGTGGAAAACATTTTCCCATAGGAACGCTGAACGCTTCGGAGATAAATCACAGAGGCTCGAAGTTCCATCGCGTTGTCCGGGGCGGCGTACGTTGCTACGGCGGCGTAGCTCTGGTTTTAATGAAAAGCGCGGTCCGCGCAGCCCCGCGACCGTCTCCGCCCGGAGGCTGCCAGTAGCCCGCCGGCCGCGCTCCACACCTGACAAGCGCGCTTCACACGCTCCAATTCTCAACTGCATCCCATCAATCAACGTACGTGCCTTACATTATTTTGTAGTGAAACATCATTCTTAGTGATGCGACGTATTTTTTAAATAAATTTAAGTGCTTGTTCCATTCATGAAACTGTGCCGCGGGATAGTTAACCGGAAAACGGTGTAACGGAGGCAGGAAGTGGGTCCCGGGTAGGGCGGGACGCTGCTTTGTTCGACGTACTACGCCCGCGGAGGCTGTACCGCGCAGCATCCGCTCGCCATCTTCCTACTCGCACCTATATAAAAACTTACTCCGGTTATCCGGTATCAACCTATATTTTAGCCGAAACTATTTTAGTTACAAACCAAACTTTAATATTTAAATAATAATTACAAATGTCCGAATTATTAACAAACACTGATTCTCCAATTTTAAGTAGCTATTTTTTTCTATTTACTTAAAATTTAAATATTCGTAAAATAAAAAAAATATTAAAATACTATTTGCGTAAGAAAGAAAAATTAAATATGTACTGGCTTAATAATATATCGTTGTTTCCGTACACTTGCTAAACGTATCTGACATAACGTGTAATTATTGTAAAGATAACAGGTATTATGCTGCCTGTATGTAGAGCAACTAGTGCAAGTAAATCGCAGCGGGCATCAGTAAACACCAACATACCATATACAATATAATAAATAAATTGGATTAATTATTAACATTTATATTTAGTTTCAATATATATATTCGAAAACTGTTTTGTATATTACTAAATTAGTTCCATAGCCAAATGAACCTGAGATAAATTTGCACTGAAATTTTAAGTTTCTGTGAATCATGTTTAGGATGACTGGGAATAATGTAAGAGAAAATCTCATTACGCATCCCAGCTTAACTTTACGTCGCAATTCCACTATATTGGAATTTGTTCTCGTGTACACCTTTCGCTTTACATTTCGCGAAAAATATAATGCAATCACAATATTTTATATTTATTAATTCAAAATTACATATACAGTATTAAATAATATGAAACATACAAGTTACAAATCTCCTGTTTATGACAAAGCCCATGATCATAAGAAAATCCGTTAAAATCTACATAACAATATTTTTTTTTTAGAATTATTTAAGTTTTTATTATAAACGTTTTAGTTGAAAGTGAAATTCCTTATAAATCTTCATCAATTTTCTTGTGTAAACAATGTGACGTGAAGACAATGTAGGTAAAGATCTCGAGTTTCTGGTGTCATTACACGTGAGCATAATACAGTGTCCCATTAGAACCACAATCAGGCCGGCAACAAACATAAATCTGCGAATACTTTCACTTGTTCCTTGAACCGATCGTATTGCATAATCACTGATGCATAGGAAATTTGAACTTATCGTATAGATAATGAAAAAATCACGTACATAGATAGATAGATATGTGATACATTTGGAAATGTTATTTTCAATGCATTCGTCATGAATGGTATATTTATGGTCCACGCCAAAGATGACATTAGTACTTTAAAGATTTAGAAATTTTGTTTACTCTGGTTCCGTAAATGGAGGCAAACTTTGCTGAGCATTTTGTTTTCATTCATAATTTATGATCGCGTTAATGGTTTAAATACAAAACAATTTTATTGCTTAATGTTTCTAAATATTACAACAATATGAGTGATAATTATAGTGTTCTGAATTAGATTAAAAGACGATTGAGAAATAATTTGTAATCAATGATCGCCATTTCATCAAAATATACAGCACATTGCATTATGTGATATTTCTAACGTATTCCAACAGAATTGCATATTTAATGTGTTAGGTAATAAAATATCAAGATAGTTTGATATTTTAAAGAAGTTTCATTAGATAAATTCGATTAAGTTCCAATGTTCTGTTATAATATTAAGTGTACAATTACTTTAAACATTTTCTGTGCTCAAACTTCGATTCTACTCGCGTTTTACTTTCACGAGACATGCGTAAAATTTCGATGTATTTTTGCAATGCTAATTATGTAAGGGATTGATTACATTATTGACAAAATAAATGTTTGTCATTGAATAAAAACAATGTGTTCCGTTTGAATAAATAACAAAATTACAAAATATCGTAAGCTTACATTTTAATTTCGGAACACAACTAAAGATCCTTTAAGATTTTGTAGTTCAAAATCGTATTGCTTAATGTACTTTTTTTAAAGAATTTTAAAGAAGAATATAAAAAGTTTCAAACTATCTTTCAAGATATCTTTAAATATTTTGACGTATGTCTTTGAATCACGATCTATTTAAACAATATGGAACAGATGCCCAGAATGAGCTGTTACAAGAAGAATGTTAATAATGCGTTGTTCGTATTTGTCGTTGTTTCCTGTTTTTGGACCAGCTGAAAACATCTGCTTTCGCATACGTATTGTTCAGGTGTCGTTAACGAACTGCAGATAACGTAATATTTTTGCATTTGCGAGTCTTCGGTACACATAATTCAAAAATACATTAACAGTTTATTTGATCGCGTTCAATGATTTCATTTAATTCATTCAAATGTTAGGAATAATTATGTGTTATGTGATTTGATAGTCACGGACCGATAGGGTGATCGTGACATTAGAATATTATGTCAACTACCGTCTAATTCTAGTCAAAAATCATTTAATGACGTTTACGTTAGTAGGCACACAGAAAGTACCCACAGTACACCGTCTTTACGAGTTGCAGTTGCATCCTCATGATAAAAAGAATGGTGGTGTTAAATGATTTGTTGACGTCTATATACGACGGTGATAATTTTAAGACAGACTCAGTTATGTAATATTAAGTAATAATAATCTTTGTGGTTTTAAAGATTAATTTGTTTCTTAGTTTTCTATAAATTCGCGATCAGTTTTCCGATCGACTTGAAACTTTGTACAGCCGTTGCTGGCACTTAAAGGAATGTTATTGTCAAAACATCATTAGCGTAAGAGACTGGTGAGTTCTTTTAAAAATAAAAGTGTATTTGATTCAGTTACCGATATACAGCTTGTCGAGATATAGAATTTTTATTTGTTTAAGACGTCTGCGAAGACAATGTTTCCTTGGGAAGTTACGTTACTTAGTGTTATTGTTAAATTTGTTTTAGTTTTAAACTATTCTACACTATATTAAGTTAGCGGAAGACTTGTACTCGGAAGTGGGATGAAAGGCATATTCATAGGATTAAAACCAAGATTACATGCCAAATTTCGTCAAAATCGGTACAATGGCTTAGGGCGTGAAAACTTAACGAATCGACATTACGTTTTTATGATAGATATTAATATGGATTATTGATTGAAGCATATCGAGACTGTTCCACTCGTTTCTAAGACTATCTCTTGAAACGAATTTTTATCGAATGACATATTTGAGTAGGCTCTTAACAAATGCGCCCAATAGAATTTAATGAACTTTGTCAGTCCACAGTCGGTAAATCAAATCATATTCAAACAATTAGAGAATCGAGTTAAATGTCTGGATTTGTACATCGCGCTACGGAATCCGTAGCTACCCTAACTTCCGTTTCCGTTACAAGGTCGTGACTGAATAGAGCTTTATTATTAAGGCTCTATACGGCTCTTATTACAGCCCTTTTGTAGATTCTGCAGGCTTTGTGTGAAAGTGGAACGCTGTAAATTAGGTTTACTTGTCGACGAGTCTGTGTAATGAACTGTAAAAATGTTTTAGACTTCGAGGGGTTATTTTTAGGTAGCCTAATTTTATGTTATTTGATTATACAGCAGAAGAATAATGGTAAGCAACGACGACATGCATCTATAGTGCAGTCAATATTGGGTATTAGTCATCTAACCTTAAAAAAATAATTGGAATATTTTTATCTAAGCATAATCTAATGGGATAAATGTCGTAAAATTTTGTTGTTCTTGATTTTATTTTCTCAAGTTCAATTAAGCTAATGAGATAGGCATAAAAACTAAATTAAGTGGTAGGCGGTAGTGGTAGGCTAGTGGTAGGCAACTACTTGGCTCTGCTCTTGGCGTTGCTGACGAGTCACCATCAGGTATTTAAGCCGTATGCTCATCCGCTTAAAATGGCATAAAAAGGGAATTTTAAATGCCCTGTACATTAATCTAAAAAGCTTATTTTTTTGGTAATAGATGGCTATAATAAATAAAATAATGACAACAGCAAGAAGCAATAAAAATACCTAGGTATTTAGTAGAAAGACTGTTCATACTAGTACGAATTAGATATTTGAAACAGTATCAAAGAATTGTTTGTAGTAAAATATAAAATTTCCGTCCTTAGCACTTTCTTTATATAGCTGAGTCGTATGAAATTTGAATTGTAAAACAGAAACACGAATACTCATAATACTAGCGAACTAATAACTTAAAAATTTAATTAATTACAATTAAACACATATGTTTCAAAGTTGCTTCTGTATAGTACTGTATACAATAAACTACTTTATAAAAATTACATTTCGTTCCATTTTCACTTTATCTAATCCGGCAGTGGTAGTAGGTTATATTTTAATAATGCGATATTAATTTAAATTACGAGTCTTAAATTAAATTAATTGTCTGTTAATTATTCCAATGAGATGTCACATTTTCGTTGTGCATGTTTCGTGGCGTTTCCCCGGTGGACCCCTCTGCTGTCACCGGTATGACGCGGAGCCGTGGGAGTGTCAGCCGTTATGTCATTCCGGGCATTTCCTAACGAGTCCGGTAGTTCCCAATTGTTATATTAACTTAACATAAAAATAACATTTACTTTGTCAGTCGTTATATTTTTCGGTCATAGTGAGATAATTATTGATTTAAAGTACCGAAGTCAAATTTTGATTTACAAGTGGCAATAGTTATTTGGGTAACAAGAGAGCAAAGTTGTTTTTTGTTTCGAGTGCTGATTTTGAGTCCCAAGTAAGCGAAGGATTTTATGATTAATTCACGAGCGTAGTGAGTAATTCAAAGTTAGAATTCTGAGCGTAGTGAGGGACTCAACAGCACGAGATGCAAAAAACTTTGCTCTCGTGTAGCACACATAACTTTTAGTCTCAGCAGTGAGAACACA